GCCACGCGGCTGCCGTCGCTACTCAGGGACACCGAATGGCCACTCTGATCGCCTAACCCTTCGCTATCGATGTCCTGCCCAAACTGGCTCCAAGTGTTGCCCGAAAGCCCGAAGATGCGAACGTGACCAGAACTCGACCCAACGCCGTCGTTCACGTATGCTCCAACGGCCACGCGGCTGCCGTCGCTGCTCAGGGACACCGAGTAGCCCCTCCTATCGCCTGAGGCTTCGCCATCGATGTCGTGCCCGACCTGGCTCCAAAAGATACACGAGAGCCCGAAGACGCGAACGCGACCATAATCAAGCCAAGCACCGTCGATCCAGCCATGCTCCAGTGGCCACGCAGCTGCCGTCGCTGCCCAGCGACACCGAATAGCCACTCCTATCGCCTGAGGCTTCGCCATCGATGTCCTGCCCCAAATGCTACCAAGTGCTGCCCGAGAGCTCGAAGGCGCGAACGTGACCAGAACTTGACCCAGCACCGTCGTTCTGGGGTGCTCCAACGGCCACGCGGCTGCCGTCGCTGCTCAGGGACACTGAATGGACCCTCCGGCTTCACCATCGACGTCCTGCCCCAACTGGCTCCAAGTGTTGCCCGAGGGCCCGAAGACGCGAACGTGACCAACATCTGACCCAGCACCGTCGTTCAGCCGTACTCCAATGGCTTCGCGGTTGGCGTTGCTGCTCAGGGACACCGAAGAACCACTCCTATCGCGTGAGGCTTCGCCATCGATGTTCTGCCCCACCTTGTTCCAGAAGGCCCCCTTCACCATGTGGTCAGCCGTCTCGACTTGGCGACGTCGTTGCTGCTGGCTGGTGTTCACGTGGGGCACCATGGAGGTCACTGTAGACACGCCCTAAGTAGGCGAAAGCGTTGGTGCTGGGGCGCTTCGTGGGGCGAGGATAACGGCGGCGTGGATCGTCCTCGTGAAGAGCACCATCACGAAGGCGATAGCGCGCCCCTTGTGGCCTGCCGCCATCATGGAGGATGTACACGGAGAGTCCCAAGACGGCCCGAGAGGCGCCCAAGAGGGCCCCAGAGAGTCCCATCAGGACCCCAAGAGGGGCCCAAGGGAGGCAAATCGACCTGACACTCCAAGCCCTTCGCCCCAAGAGGACCCCCAAGTTCCCAAGATCTTCCCAAGAGGCCAGGAGAAGCCCCAACGTAAGTAGCCCAAAAGAAGCCCCCAAAAGGGTCCCAAGGGGCCCCAAAATGTTTCATCCATGGACTTCATCCCTATTCTGGCGGTCGGCGGAATGGCGTAAGCCTCTGGGGACCCCTGCGGCGGTGGATATGGAGATGGTTTTGCCTGACGGGGTCCGAATCTATCCATATCCACCGACTGCCTAAGTCCCAGAAGATCGATCCCTCAGGCGGTGTTTATGGATAAATCCACGCGTTGGACAAAGGCTCCTGCGCTCAACCAACGGAGCCTTGCTTTGTCGCCGTCGTCTTGGAATCGCCTTCGGCGCTCGACTCGACGTAAGGAGGATTCTCGTCCGGATAGCCACGGGCACCTCCGAGGAAGAAGCGGTGCCCGAGATTCAGAAGACGTCTCGAGCGTGGGATTCGTCCGCCTTGCCCGAAGCAGGGAGAGAGAGAGAGAGAGAGAGACACACACACATACACACAATTACATTTTTATATATATATAAAGATATATATATATATATATACACACCGTATCTTGCTACCGTGCCTGCACGGAGTGGTCGGTTTAACAATTGATCGTTTGTTGTCTGGGGAGCTTTGAAGAACTGTTCAAAGGCCCCCCCACACCTCCCAGCGCGCACCTGCCGAAAAAATCCCCCCCACCCTCTGAAATTAATCGCCGGCGCTCTTTTTGGCCTCGGAACGGCCAACATGGCTTCCAAGACAGCGTTCACGACATCTCAATCGACACCGACATGATCGAAGGTGGCCGAAGATTGCTGAAGAGGCCCCCAAGACGGTCTCAAAACAGCTCAAGAGGCCCCAAAGACGGCCCAAGAGAACTCCGAGAGGCCCTCCTGGAGAGCCCGAGGAGGAAAACCCACATTCATTTGCCCTAAGTTTCTGGAAACATATTAGAAAAAGGTTCTCGCTGGTTTGGGTTTCCGACCGCCCAAGACGGCCACAGAGGCCTCCAAGAGGCCTCCAAGGCCCCTAAGACGGCCCCAGGTCGGCCACGATCGCCCAATGGGCTCCGAAGACGGCCCTGAAACGCCCCAAGAATGCACCAAGACGGCCCCAAGAGGCCCCCAAAACAGCCTCCGAAGGCGTCAAACGGGCCAAGAGTCACCGAATGACGGCCCAAGAAACCACAAGAGGCCCCGAGAGGTTCCAGGTGGCCCCCAAGCTGCCCGAAGAGGCCCTCCGGAGGCTCTCAGGAGGCCACATGAGGATCCCAAACAGTTCCCTGGAGGCCTCAAAACTGCATCCTGGTCCTCATGCTCTCCTCCTCCTCCTCCTCCTCCTCCTCCTCCTCCTTCCAACCGCGAGGACGAAGACGAGGTCGAGATCACGACCCTCCCCGATTCATACCAATCGCAGAATTGCCGCGGGGCGTGAGCTCCACAACCGTCCTACGGCGTGAGCTCCACAACCTTCCCGTCCCAAGTGAAACCGCTTGTCGGAATTGCGCTGTTCCTGTAGCGGGGTTTGCCGCGTGAACCTGGATACAGATATTTGTAGATTTAGCAGGAGAGAGAAGGAGAGAGAGAGACAGACAAGATATGGTAGACAAAAACATCGAAATACATACACAAACAAAGCGACAGAGAGAGAGAGAGAGGAAGGAAAAAATGAATGAAGAAATCAAGAGATGAAACAGAAAGAAGGACAGAGCGAGGGAGAGAGAGAAGGGAGTGTGGCGGAGATGGGGGAATGAGCCTAAGACGAGACAAAGAATTGACAAGTGGAGGGAGGCCTGGCGGCGCGAACACGGGTGCGCCACGAGGGGCGGCCTTCTCGGAAACCTGGGCGGGTTGGAACGCAGGGGGAGTGCTTCCAAGAAAGCATCCTGTTGGGCAAGGCTTGATGAAGGGGGGTCGCAAATGGGGGGGTCAGAAACGGCCCCTTCCCTGCCCTTTTCGGACCCCTCCGGAGCCCCAGGGGGCTCGTTTAGGTACCGTTTGGGTACCTTTTCGGACCACCCCCCTCACCCCTCCCATTTATGACCCCCCCCTTACGCGACGCCCAAGCCTGGCCCCTCCGAAGCCTCCGGGCCCTTGCAAGATGGGGCGACGGAATCTGTACGTACACTCAGGTCGGGCCCGTCCCTCTACAGGGGGATTTTTGGGGCGATAATCTTAAATAATATTCAAAAACAGACACCCAACAAGTTCAAAACTAGTCAAACAGTGATACCCTTGACTATTTTTGAACTGTCCTCCTGTGGAGGGACCAGCCCGACTTACACGTACATGCCAACTGCCCCCTGGCCAGGTCCATCCTGTGAGCACAGCAGCGGTGTACACGCCACGCCCTCCTGGCCGAGCCGGGAGGGCGTGTACACCGCTCCTGGGCCCAAGGACGGCCCCCGTCAGGGGCCAGCGGATGTGAACCGATGCCGTCGCCCGATCAGAAGGCCCCCGCCTTCTCGGAGGGCTAACCTGAAGTCGGGCCTGTCTCCCTTCAGGGGGGATTTCGACGACAAATGAAAAGTACCCCAAAAATACACCAAAAAGATATATATATATATATATATATATATAAAAACTAAAAAGAATTAGTCCCCTGACTTTTTTTTGAACTATTGGTTTGACTATTTTGGGGGTATTTTCTTTTATTTTTCGTCGAAAATCCCCCTGTAGGGAGACACGCTGGACTTGTGCGATCCGCCAAGAGGTGGAGACCTGGAGGGAACAGGGGGCAGCGGAGGGTGGGGGGGACCCCAACGTCCGTCGTCGTGACTTTCGTTCACGGCGTGCCCCCAGAGTCTCGACCCCCTCACGGGCTCAGCTATTGATGCCGAGCTGTTGTTCACAATAAAGCTCAGCCATAAGAGCCGAGTTGTTTTTCACGGTCACGGGCCAGGCAAAGGCCCCCGCAGACCGAACATAAGTAAACACCACCCGATGATTGCCGGCGCGAACAGCAAACGTAGATGGTAAGAAGCTTTCGCAGCCCCGCGCTCGAATCTGCACTGCAGCCCCCTCCCTGGCGCGCGGAGCGCGCCAGGGGCGGCGCCCGAACACGGGGCCCAGACCAGACGCCGATCGAACGGAAAAAAGGGCTTCTGCTGTGAACGAGACGAACATTCCCAAAAGCCTCTCGCGCCGCTTCTTTGTATCAGCGCGAAGCGGAATGGGGAGATGGTGGAAGAAAAAGAGAACGGTAACCGTGACCAAGACAAACCGCGCCGATGCGGTTTCACCATCTTGGTCACCATGGATTCGTGGATCATCCTCGCCACCCAGCATGGACCATGACCATCGTCGTCGACAAAATCCTGCGACGTCTTGGTCATGATCATCGTGCTTCTTTCCTCGACCCCGCGTACGTGTTTCCCCCGCGCGGAGCGGCATGGGCCAGGGGCCGGAAGAGCGGGAACCCCGAGATTCGACGCCAGGAACAACAAAATTCATACCGCAAACACACACAAAAAGGACTGGACGGGAGAGCCCTGGACCCCATCTTTTCGTGGCATTCTTCGGGCCGGATCGATCTTTCGTTTGGTGTTCGTTCCATGGGGGCCTGCGTGGCCCCTGGCGCTGTCCGAGTTGCGCCTGATTTGGACCGGATGTGGATCAAATTCGGACCAGATTTGGATTGGATTCGCGGGGAGACTAGAGGAACGAGGAGGAGGAGGAGGCACAGGAGGCAGAGGGGAGAGGAGGAGCAGGAGGATGGGCCAAATGCGGTCCCTGCGCGGTGCAAGTGCAGGAAACGCTGATTTCGGCATCGAACTGTCGGGGCCCCTGGTCCCGAAACGAGGCACGGCGGCCCGCCGTGCAGAGCTGCGGCGCTGGGTGCTCCCCAAGACGGCTGCGCGGGCGGCGGCCGCGGGAGCGGGCGCCTTCATGCCCGCCTTGGTCATGCCGGCCTTGGAGACGACGCCCCCGGCTCCGGGGCCGGGCGCGTCCTGCGCGCTCGCAGCCGAGGAGGGGCCATAGGTCCGGTCGGGCTACAGTCGGGGCGTTGACCTAAGGAACCCTAAATAAGGAACGAGGCCCCTTTCTTCCATAAGTTACACTTCGATCTCCCATGGAAAACCTCAGGAAAACCTGAGGCAAGCTGTAGAACAATCAAGGAACACCGAGCCCCTCCCCAAGGAAAAGGGTTCCTTCTGCAGGGCCCCGGGGACCGAGCACTCCGCGCGGACGCACGGCGTACGCACTCCACATCCTGCCGGGAGGGACTCCAGGAGCGGCGGGGAAAAAAAAACGCCAGCCTTGCGCGAGATGAGAACACGACGTTGCGCGGCGGTTGACGCGGGTCGCCAGCGCGGCACACGGCGTGGGGAAGAGGGTGCCTACGCGCGACCTTACGCGGGCGCGGCTTGCACGCCACATGCAACTTTCGTATTATAACGTGTTGTGACATGATGCGCTGTTCGAATTGCTCGCCACGCGTGCGCTATGTGCTAGTTAATTCGGAAAATGACCTACTCTAATTTGAAACAATGGACGGTGAAACCCAATTGTTCCACTCGCATTCGAAAGCTCAACATGCTATGCTGTTCTGTGACACGGTGCATGTTTTATTGTGCGCGAGTTGACCATAATATAATACAGTGAGAACGGCTCACATGGCTTGGACTATTGAGTGGTAACATGCATGAACTCATTTGCACCCAAGATCAAAAGGATATGATGTATTCTGACACACCACATGTATTTTTTTGTGCGCGCGAGCGCACGCGCGTACGCGCAAGCACGTGCGCCGCATGATTTTCAGCCGGGAATGACCAGTCCCATTTCGAGCACGAAGTCGTGCGAACTAAATGCTCTGTTCTCCAGGCCTCAACATGCTGTGCCATATTGTGACGTGATGCATGTTTCTGATTGCGCGCGCTGCCCGCGTAGGCGTGCGTGCGTGCGGACGCGGGCGCAACATAATAATCAACTGGGAATGAGTAGCTTGTCGCATAGAGTTTCTCACAACTGAATTTTTCAACTTGATGCCTGGACGACGAGTAAACAAACCCAAGCTTCACCATTCAGCCTTCGATCAGTCATTGGTCATGTTCAACTTGTTCTCACATGGCGCACGCGTGCGCGAGCACGCGCGCACAAAAACTCTGCGCCCTGTGTCCCAGTGCAGCATATCATGTTGATGCCTGGTGTGGGGGTGAACTAACTGGTTGCACGATTCAATACCTCGGGCGATGAGTTGGCCATACCCATTCACTTTCATACTGCGCATGCGTGCGCGCGAGCAACAAAAACGCATTGTGTCGCAATGCATGAGGGCACATGACAGACTAGAACACAAGAGAAGCGTCTTGCTTTCACACATCAATGATCGAAATGAAACTGGCAATTCTCACATGACAATAGTTTGGCGCACCCGCGCGCGCGTGCAAAACAAATGTGTTGCGCCATAACACGTCATATGAAATTGAGCCCTGGGCTGTGGGTGATGCAAACTGTTTCCGCCATTCCATTTTCGAAACTACCCTTTGTCGACTGGCGGCGACGCGCGCGTTCCTCAAATATTATCTGGGAACAACAGCACAACGATTTGGGCCGTGTGGAGGCCTCTTGGCCCGTCTTGGAACGTTTTGGGATGGCAATGCGGATGGAGGAAGAAGCGTCTGAGCAGGATTTGCGCTTCCATCTTCGTCCTCGGTCAGTTCATTCCGTCCGCCCTCCTCCTCCTCCTCCTCCTCCTCATCCTCCTTCTCATCTTCTCATCAGCCACCTGTAAAGCCCTTGGGCCGTGCTGATGCCTCCTGGGTCAGCTTGGCCGCCTATTGGGCCGCCTCGGCGAACTCTTGGGGTGCTTTGGTGCAACATGGGGATCGCCCTGGGTTGTGTTGGAGCGTCGGCAAGCGGAACAAGCAACAACGGGGGAATTCCTGAAAACCTCCTGCTCCAACGAATGGCGGCGACAATCACGTTCCTGGAATGGTTTCTGGGGACATGCTGCTTGCGGCAGTGTTGTGGCCATCGTGGAGGCCTCGGTTGTGCCCGTTCCGGGCTGTCGAGGCCCATTGGGGGCAACACTGCGGCACGCCAATCTTGGGGCCATCTTGGGACATCTTGGGCCAGATTGGCCGCCTCTGGGCCGCCTAGGCGACATCTTGGGCTGATGTGGTGCAATCTGGGGAACGTCTTGGGCAAAGTGGGAGCGTCGGCACGCGAAACGAACAGCAGCGGGAGTATGCTCGAGAACCTCCTCCTTCTCCGACGACTTACGATGACAACCGCGTTCCCGGAAGGCTCCGGAAACATGATGGTTGCGGCCGTGGGACTTCATTTCCCCGGACTGGCGACGACGGTCAAGGTGCCTGAAGGCTTTCTGCGAACATGATGGTAAGGCCAATTGTAGAGGACTCTGTAAGGCCCTGCGGGGTGTCGAGGCTCATTTGGGGGGCCGTCTTGGAGCTCCTTGGGCGCCTGCGCAATCCTTGTAGGGTGTCGAGGCTCATGTGAGGGGCTGGTCTTGGGACATCTTGGGCCAGGTTGGCCGCCTCCCGCCTGGGCGACCTCTTGGGACGCTTTGGTGCAATCTGGGGAGCGTCTTTGGCAGTGTTGGAACGTCGGCAAGCGGAACGAACAACAATGGGGAGATGCTCGAGAACCTCCTGCTCCGATGAAAGGAGAAAATCACGTTCCCCGAAAGCTCCCCAGGCACTTCTGATTGCGGCCGTGCGGGACTGTAGGGCCCTGTCGGGGTGTCGAGGCTAAGCTTGGGGGCCTTTGGGGGTTGCGCTGTAGAGGTTCATGTTGGCGCCATCTTGGACTTTGTTGGCGCTCTTTTGCAGTGCTCTAGGACCCTCTTGGCGTGTCCAGGACCAATTGGAGTACTGCCTTGGGGCCTCTTGGGCCATCTTGGGCGCCTCTTGGGACGCTTTGGCGCCCTGTTGGGACGTCTCTTGGGCCGTCTCCGAGCGTCGGGAAGCGGAGCTAGCGATCACGCCAAAATCAGTGGAAATCAATGAACAACTTGCATATTGGCGCTCTCTCGGAGAGAAGTTTGGAGTCCTCTTGAGCCGTCTTGGATGCCTCGTGGGCCGCATCGAAGCAATGACATGCGTCGGCCGTGGACAAACCTCCCTTTAGTAAACCTCCCCTTAATGAAAACGGCCTGGGACCGAAACCGACGGACCCGGACCCGCAAAAATGACGGCCGCGACGCCCTCTCGCGAACCGAAACCTTCTCCGGGCGTCAAGCAACGGAGCAGGCGACCGCACGAAAATCTGGGAACAAGCCATGAGAAATCATTGATTTTCGCTCGTGGGCCTCTCGGAGATAAGTTTAGAGCTCTCTTGGGGGGTCTTGGGGTCCACATGGGCCGCCTCGAAGCAGTGGTGGGCTTGCTGGGGGCGTTCTGGTGCCCTCTGGGCTCTCTCGATGGCCCTTTTGGCGGGTCGAAGCTCGTTTAGCCCCCCAAGCGGCACTGGGGCACTTGTCTGGGCATCCCCGGGGCCTATGCATATATATATATATATATATATATATATGTCGGCGGCGGTGCCCGGTGCGGAGCGAACCCCCCCTCCCGGTAATCTCTCCTGGGGTGTTTCGAGCTGGCGCCATTCCCGGTGCGAGCCTGCACGAACCCCCCCGGTAAACACGACCTCCTCTGGTAGGCTGCACGAACCCCCCCGGTAAGGACGCAACCCCTCCGTAAGCGGCGCGCTCCTGGCACGCGCGAACCCCAGCCCCGACGCGCGAATCTTACCAGGACGAGCAGGAGGAGGAACTGGCATTCCTGTTGTTCGCACTGCTGGGCTCGTGGCCACAATACGAGAGGCTGCGGCGCAACTCGCATGCTTGTGGCCCCAATCTGCATTACAAAGGACGAGGAGGAGGAGGACGAGGAGGAGGAGGAGGAGGAGGAGGAGGACGAGGAGGAGGAGGAGGAGGAGTAGGAGGAGGAGAAGGAGGAGGAGGAGGAAGAGGAGGAGGAGCAGAAGGAGGAGAAGGACGAGGAGGAGGAGGAGGAGGAAGAAGAGGAGGAAGGCGAACAAAGGCGAGCAGACGCGAATAGAGAACACAAGGCGAGCACACGCCACACTTCGACAGGGAGCCACCCTTCCCAACCGCCCCCCTGCCACCTGCCCCCCCCCAACCCACCCCCCACTCCCACCCCCCCACTCCCACATGGGGGGGGGGAGCCCAGGTAGACACAGCGCGGCCTGCACGAACCCCCCCGGTAAAGCGACAGGGGAGGACCCAATGCCCGGTAAATCGGCAAGGGGGGGTGTTCTAAGCCGCTGGCGGCACCCGGTGCGGGCTGCACGAAACCCCCTTGTAGTGCACGAAACCCCCCGGTAGTGCTAGGGGGGGGTTCGTGCCACGGCGCACCGCCGACATATGTATGTATATATATATCTATATATATATATATATATATATATGCATACGCATACATATATGCAAATACACATGTACTTGTACAAATGCATGCATGCATGCATAGATACACATATGTGTAGATGTACACACATACATGTGTATACATTCGTGTGTATATTAATATACACACAACCGCTCTTTGACCGTCAAACATCAAATTTATGTTCGGAATCCTTGTGGGAGGGTGGTCATTCAGAGAGTAGTCATGGCTAGCGTGCCGTTTCCCTCGGCCTCAGATATTCAATGGCCAGTGGAAACGGCACAGCCGTTTTCTAATATAAAAGAGTATTGATTTTGATAATGAATAGGAATAACAAAACAAACATGGTTCGCTGAAGCGGAAAAGAAACGGCTCCGTGATTGGAACCAAAGCCGGACATGGAAAACAGATGGCGTCGGAACCGGACACCGAACGCCGCCGTAACCGGGCAAACAGACGGCACAACAACGAAAGGACAAAAACGGTCGTAGCTTCTTACAAAAACACGATGTTCCCCAACATAGACTAGGAGCTACATCACAAGAAACTTTCCACCCAACCCTGAGACCCCAAGAAGTCCAATGAGTTTTGGTGTGAGCACGTCACTCTTTCTGTGGCAAAACCGTCGGAATCCAAGAAACCAAGGGCACCCTGGAGGCAAACAGGGTGTTTCTTGATGGCTTCCTGTTGTAAAGCAGCAAACTCGGCGGTGGACAAACCTCCCTTTAACAAACTACCCTTTAGTGAAAACGGCCTGGGACCGAAACCGACGGACCTGGACCCGCAACAAAAAAAACAGCCGCGACGCCCTCTCGCGAACCGAAAACGGCCAACTCGCGAATCGACGTGTCAGGGTAGGAGGTCTATCAGCCTCCGAGAGTTCTGGCTGTCTACCGAACCGCCCTGGCGAGCCGTCACCGAGGCGTGCGGCAGAGGGGGGAGGGCACCGGCCGCGGGGGGAGACGCAGCATGGAGGAGGAGGAGGAGGAGGAGGAGGAGGAGGAGGAGGAGGAGGAGGAGGAGGAGGAGGAGGAGGAGGAGGAGGAGGAGGAGGAGGAGGAGGAGGAGGAGGAGGAGGAGGAGGAGGAGGAGGAGGAGGAGGAGGAGGAGGAGGAGGAGGAGGAGGAGGAGGAGGAGGAGGAGGAGAGGAGGAGGAGGAGGAGAAGGAGGAGGAGGAGGAGGAGGAGGAGGAGGAGGAGGAGGAGAAGTGAGGAGGAGGCGGAGGAGGTCTATCCACCCCCGACTATCGCGGCGATCCGGGGGCGACCCGGGGTCGGCGCGCATCCCCCCCGTGAGCCGACCCCCCCCCCCCCCCCCGCAGCGCTGCGCCCCCGAGGCGGCCCCTGCCCCCGCGGGCCTGGCCCCCGGAGTAGTACGGGTTCGCGAAGCCGCTGTTGGGGGCGGCCTCCGGCGGCGCGCGGGGGCGGGCCCCTCCCCGCGATGCCCGCCTCGGCGTTCCCCCGACGTGGGCCGGAGAATCGGGCCGGGCGAAAGGGGGGGATGGCAAAGGGCGGGGATTGAGAATCAGCTCACGTAGCTGATGTTCCTGGCGCCTCCCGGCGCCGGAGGGGGGCCGAAACCAGCTGCATGCAGCAGATTTCGTAACCCCCCCTTTCCCAATTCCCCCCTTTCGTCCGGCCCGAGAGAAGCCCGCGAGGGCCGAGAGAGATCGTGCTCATGCCGCAGTTCGTTGTTCGCCTGGGGGCCGGGAGCCGCGAGCGGCCGCCGCTCTGTCTCTGCTCTTGACGCCGGATGTGTGGCGGGGCAGGCCGAGCCGGACAAGGCGGCGGAGGAGGCGCGGGCGGATGCTGGGCGTGGCTGGGCGAGGCGGCCCTCTGGGCCGAGCGGGGAGAGCTCCAGTCCCACCAGGTCGGGCGTTGCTTAACAATGGGGGGGCCATACATTGGGAGGGGGGGAAACGTAATTACAGCACCCCGCAGTTGCGGATAAGAGCGAGGGGGCGGGCGCGGGGTGGGTCGCGGTTGGATCATGGGCGAGTCGCCGGCGGGTCGCGGGCTGGGTCTCGGGTGAGTCGCGGGTGGGTCGCGGGTGGGTCGCGGGCCGTGTCGCGGGCTGGCCGACGACAACAAACAACAAACAATCAGCAACGAACAACAAACAACACACAGCACACAACAAACAACACACAACAACAATCATCAGCAACATCAACAACAATAACAACAACAACATCAACAACAACAGCAGCAACAACAGCAGCAATAATAATTTTAAGACTGTTCTCCCTCATATGCTCGAGTGTCCAATAACGCGTATTTCCCAAACCCTCGATACCCGCCCTCTTCGTCTTCGATCGAACCCCTTTCGGGGGGTATATCTTTCTTCCCTGCAGGTTGGGCCCCGGCAAGCGGCGGGGAGGCCGCGGACCGTCGGCCTGGCCAGCGGCAGCGCTGATCGGCGGGGCGGCCGCGGACCGTCGACCCGACCCCAAGAGGGACGGACAGGGGACCGACACGACGACGACGACGACGACGACGACGAAGACGACGGCGACGACGACGACGGCGACGACGAGCGAAAGCGAGAGCGAGAGAGAACGACAGCAGGGCCACGAAGGGCACGAAGTAGGCCACGAAGGGCGACAGCGGGGACACGAAGGGAATGCGTATGGGGCCACGAAGAGCGCGAACGAGCGGGAGCCACGACGTGCAGATAATGCGGGGCCACAGAAGGCAACTATGGGGCCACTGGGGGTAGCAACTGGGCCACGTAGGACGGTGAGGGGGACACAAATGGCGACAGCGGGGCCACGAAGGGCATGCACATGGGGCCACAACGGGAGCGACTCCTGGGTGCCTGGGTGTCGGGAGCGCGGCGCTTGGACAAATTGCAAGAAATTCCAACGCAAGGCCATTCTTCAGTAATTTGCAAACAAGTCTCCAACGAGAGCGCGACTCCAGAGCGCCGGGAGAGCGATTCCTGAATAAATTGTAAGGAAGTCCCAAGCGAGAGCGTGATTCCTGAATAACATGCGAGGAAGTCTCGGGCGGGAGCGGGGGTCCTGGCTAACTTGTAAGGAAGCCTCACGCGGGAGCCGTTGTTGTTGTAACCCGGGGGCCAGGGGCCCACTTTGAGCACGAAGACTTTCCCTGCCAACAAAAACAGGGTGCGAGCGTCGAGGGGCACACTTTGATTGAGAAAAAACAATAGGCACCGGTGGGGGGATCAACACAAATTATTTTCAGAAATGAGACTTCAACAACAACAACAACAACAACGACATCAACAACAACAACAACAACAACAACAACACCAACAACAACATCAAACACATCAACAACACTTAACACATTATACGCAACAAACAACAAACGACAACAATACCAACAACGCCACCAACAACAACACCAACACCAATAACAACACCAGTAACAACAATACTACAAACAACACCACAAACAACAACAGCAACAGCAACAACAACACCAACAACAACACCAGCAACAACAACAACAACGGCAACAACAACAACCTTAACAACAACAACAACAACCACAACAACAACAACAACAACAACAACAATCCACACCGCGGGAGCCCACTTCAGCCACGCACCCGAAGACAATGAATAACCGTTCGGCCCCCACACTCTGACTTTCCGTGCACCTTTTGGGCTCAAGAGGCTCCCTTTACGGCACGAAAGGGTCACCTCTCTTCAACACCCATGTATCGCCCTCACCCATTGCGCAACGCCCGACCAGGGGTGGACCTAGGGCGGCTGGGAATTGAGCGGCATAAGGCATAGCATCACCTGCGCCCTCGGGTCTCTTGAGCCAGACAGAGCCCACACAACCCCGCAGGAAATCGGCAAAGAGGCCTTGCACTGACTCCACGGGCCAATGGCTTACAGTCACCGTGCTACCAATCGAAATGCTGAGTTATGGACGCAGGGCCGTTTCTGGCCACTGCGTGCCGAAATCACGTAGAGACTCCCTGGCCCAGAACTGAGGCACGGCCCGAAACACCGGAGCCCCTCCTGAGCCCTCCGTGGTCCGTAGCATCCACCAGATTCATGGGGCACGGCCTAACCGACCCCTAGCAAACCAGCCCCTTCCGTGACGTCACCCTCGCCTGCCAGGCTTCCTTCCAGCCGCACACATACGTCTTGGGGCGAGGCGAGAGGGACGTCACAGGAGGGGATGGTTTGCTAGGGGTCGGTCAGGCCGCCCCTGAACTCACTCCACCCCTGACACTTGCGGCTCGCGCTATCCCCGGGAGCCCAGCCTTGCTCAGCGTCGGAGGCGGCGCCCTGTCGTTGCCATAAGCCTCCGGCGAGCCCTTGCCTGTCGGCGAGCCCTTGCCTGCCGGCGAGCCCTTGCCCGCCGTGTCCTTTGAGCAGGGACCGACCGTCCCGGCACTCCCGTAGGCCTACCACGACATGTTCTTAGAACCCAGAACTGTTCTAAGAACAAAATCAATGCTCTTAGAACATGAACCCGATGTGTTAAAACAAGTCAGCCTCAGCCAGACATGTTCCAAGAACATGTCGTGCAGACCACAAAAGGTTCTAAGACCATTCTTTGGTAGGCCTATAGGCGAGCCGAGACGCTTCGCCACTGCTCGAGTCCTGCATGCCGTACGCCTCTGGTGAGCCCTTGCCCGCCGGCGAGCCCTTGCCCGCCAGGTCCGGCGGGCCCTTGCCCGCCGGGTCCGGCAGGCCCTTGCCCGCCAGGTCCTGCCCCTTGCCGAACTTCCCGAAGGCGGCCGGCGGGGAGCCCAGGCCATGAGGGGGCGGCATGCCGTCCTCGGGCTGCGCAGGCACCAATTTTCGGAGATCCGCGAGGATGTCGAGAGGCCTCCTGCAGGGCTGAACCTAAACGGTGTCTTTCGTGTTCGTTCTGTGTTCGTTCTCCCTCGTTTGGTCTTCAATCAGCCTCTACCGCAAAACGAAGTCGAAACGAAAACGGCCCACGAGATCGCCAAAACACCGTTTAGGTCCACCCCTGGCCTCCTAGATGCGGTCCGAGCAGGTGAGGTCGGAGGATCTCGCCGCGTCGCCGATGCGTCGGCGAGGCAATGGCCATGCACCGGCGACGTCGGCGTTGCATCGGCGACGCTGGCAAGGGGAGCATTGGGCCCCACATCGAGCCGCCTTGCCGATGCATCGCCGATACATCGGCGATGCATTGGCGATGCGGCGCGATCCTCCGGCCCCACCTACTCCGACCCCGTCTAGGAGGCCTAGAATGTCTTAGGTCGGCGCTGGGCCTTCCCTCGTCTGCGGCGACGCCAGAGGGGGCCCATGGCCGACCCGAGAGATCCGCGCGGAGCTGCGACAGCTGCTGCTCCCAGACACACGACGGTGCGGTTTCCTTTATCTACAGAGGCCGCCTGCATGGGGTCCGAGCAGATGGGGTCGGAGGATCGCGCCGCATCGCCAATGCATCGCCGATGCATCGGCGATGCATCGGCGATGCACTGGCGACGCCGGCGATGCACCAGCGACGTGGGCGTTGAGAAAATCGGGATCCTCGTCGAGTCGCATCGCCTATGCATCGGCGATACGGCGCGAACCTCCGACCCCATCTGCTCGGACCTCATCTCTGGACGCCCGAAATGGGTACGGAAGACATGGGCACAATGCCCAACAGCAAATGTTGTCCCAAACCAGCAGCGGCCGCTGTTGGGCCGGCGGCATTCTGTCTCAAGCGGACACAGGCCGCGGCGGCGAGGACAGCGAACCTGTTCAAAATGAGCAGGAACTGCTGTTGGGCATTGTACCCATTCTTTCCGTGCCCCTTTCGCTCGTGCAGATCATCTAAGAGGCCTCCGAAGACCCCACCCTTCCCCCAAGCACTGTGTCGTCCCGAGCCCATCCCGATGGCCCGCGGGGCCCGACAACTGGCCCCGGCAAGAGTCGAATCGAATGGAATCGGAGGCGTCGAAATGAGCCATGCCCCGGGAGGCCGAACTCGAGGAGAAACGCCGGCACTGAATCACAGACGCACCGTCGGAGATCCGGGTCTCTGGGTCACCAAGCTCAGCGACCCGCGGTGCGCGACGCGCGGCTGCCTTCGCGCCCTCGCGCCGCCGCCCTGGACACTAGCCGTCTCCGCGCACCCTAAGGAATCCTTAAGGAATCCTCAGGAACACTTAGAATCATTATATCCCCAGGAATCTGTAGAGAATCCCCAGGAACCCCCCGGGAATCCTCAGGAATCCTCAGAGCATCCCCAGGAGCCCCGAGGGATCCTCAGGACCCCCTGGGGGGAGGAGGGGGGGGAGGTCCTCAGGACCCCCTAAGGGATCCTCGCGCACCTGGGGGTGACCTGACCCAGACCCGAACGTCACGACCTTGTCAAGACTTGGAGCCCCGGGAGGTCTGGACCCCTGCCAGGGGATCTGTTCTTCATCCGGGGCAGCTCTTTGGCGGTCTGGGGGCCATGTGAGGGCCCCCCAAGAAGCTTCTCGGTGATCACCCACACATTTGCTTTCACTCCCAGCCCGAGGAGGTCGGGGGGGGGTTCTTTCTCTTCCTCGAGCCCTCGCCGTCCTGCCCGAACACCCGGCGGGGGCGGGGGGGAGAGAAAGTCGAGCCCTGAAATGGGCGGCACATCGCCGCTCGATCGGCGACAGGCCCCCGATGGCGAAGCCGCACGGCCCTGGGCGGGGTGGACCGTCGGATCCCTTCTCGGCGATGCACGGGCGATCGGGTGCCGAGGCGCCCCCCCCCCCCAAGGCCGCCCCAGGCCTGTTCTCGCCCAGAGCTGCCCCTGACGGGTGTGTGACCTGCGGGTGCCTTCTCCCTCGAATCCGTGCCGCCCTCCACGGGGACCGACATCTCATCCCGAGCCCTCTTTTGACAGCGACGTGGACCGGGAGGAGGAGGAAGGCAGGGAGGGAGGGAGGAGGACGAAGGGGAGGAGGGGGAGGAGGGGGAGGAGAAGGAGGAGGTTTGTGCTGCCACATGGAGCAGAAGTGAAGGCCCGAGAAAAAAACGAGGGGGCGTTGCTGTCCACGGCGAGCCTCGGCCACAAAGAGGTCCCCGGACCTAGGTCGAAGGAGCTGCCTCAGAACCAGAGTCCTCCTCCTCCTCCTCCTCCTCCTCCTCCTTCTCCTTCTCTTTCTCCTCCTCCTCCTCCTCCTCCTCCTCCTCCTCCTTCTCTTCCTCCTCCTCCTCCTCCTCCTCCTCCTCAAGCTTACCCCCTCTTGGACTTCGCCCTCCTCGCAGGAACCAGAAACTTCCATTCCCACCAGCCCTCTGGGCGTAGGTGGCCTGACAAGATCTGTCCTCTTCCAAACCCCTCTTCTCTTCGGGAGGGGGTACCCTCACCCTCCCCTGCCTGAGGTCGTTCGGCGGGGGGCCCGAGGTGTCAGAGGGCCCTTTGTCGCCCAAGATGGCTCCGAGAGGGCCTCCGATGCTGCAAGCTTGCATCCCAAATGGCTCAATACATTGCAAGGTCGCTCAAGATACATTACCCCCATCATGTCTCCCAACAGGCCAGTAAACTGGTCCCACGTGCTCTCGGAGCCCACTCGGGACCCCCCCAAGAGGCCATAATCCTTAAAACGTCTACAGACAAAATATGACGTGTAGCCTTGCCGCCTTTCGCTTGGGGTGCGTTTTCAAGGCCTCCAGATGGCCCCGAGATGAGCCAAGAAAGGCCCAAGAGGGGCCTACGGGGCCACCCAAACGGCCCCAAGAGTGCTCTTAGAGGACCCAAAGATGCGATTCTGAGTGCCCCAGCAGGGGTAATAACATTTAAGAACCCCCTTAGCCTCCAAGATGTCCTCAAGGGGCCCACAGGGCTCCCATGAGGGCCCCGAAAGAGCCCCAAGAAGGCCCCACGACGGCTCCAGAGGGCCCCACGAATCCTTCCCTCGCACCCCCGCGGGCCCGAGGGACGGCCCGAAGAGGCCCTCCTAGGCCACCCCCTTGCTCGCAGAGCTCTCTCTGTTCATCGTGGTTGCCCGCGCTGTTTCACGAGATGTGTCTATTCGACCCCTCTTCCCGCCGGCTCTCGCGGGCAATACTTCTGAGCGGGCGGTGGGGGATACGCCGAACGCGAAGAATCTCAGCGTTCCGCGTTTTTCAGACCGAGCAACAACAACCTGCCGTCGTGCATGTTTTGAAAAGATGGAGGAAGGTGTGGGGAGGGCAGGACCTGCCGGCATCGCACCGGAGAACCAGACCGGACTGGAACGTGCGTCTGCTCGGGCTGCCTCGACACGGGGTCGAGATCGAATCGGAGCGGCCGCGCCAAGATGCATAGTGGAAGAACAAAAACGACGCACAGGCATCGACCCTGGACTGATCCATCCTGGGCCCAGGCGTTTGGGCCAAGAGGGCATGTGCACCAATCCTGGGGCGAGGATGGGTCTAGCCCAAATCGATGCATGTGCATGTTTCCCGGCGCCCGACATCACATAACAGCGCCATGCAAGCATCGGGCCCCATCGGATCGCCAAATTAATTACCCTGTGACGTACTCAACCCATTTGAATCCAGTGACAAAAAGAGTACGCCCAACCATGCCAGGATAATGTCAATGCAGGCGCCGTCATATGTTGCGCACGCATGGGATGCGCCCGCGTGGCACGATTCACAAGGCAAAAACAGAAGGACGAGGAGCGAGGGCCCCGGTTTGAGGACACGGGGGCGGGAGCGAAGGCCGATGTAAGACGCGCGGGGGGCCGGACCGTCAGCGCGGCAGCAGCAGAAGGAATGTGGCAAGGGAGCAGAGGACGACGACGACGAAAGTGACGGGAGGGGGCCGAAACGTGTTGCTTTAGCCGGTAGTGTGCTAAAGATGCAGCGCTGCCAGCGCCATGTCGCCGTGGCGCTCGCCAAAAATAACTTAACCTGTTTGTGCTTACTGCAAGAAGCGAGCGAAGCCTAGCTCGGCCGCCAGCTTCTCTGCTTACTTCCAGACCACCCCAGAACTGGAACCAAACCCCTCCGCTGGACCCCGGGGATGGCGAGGTCTCCTGGTGGTTCGCGTAAAACTTCGCTCCGCTGGACCCCCCAGCGGCCCTCGAAAGTGGCGACAATTGGGCAGATCGGAGCTTCCCAGTGATGCCGAGGTCGACATCGCCGCTCCGAAAGTTCCTTGAATTCTCTGAGTTGCGCCCGATGGCATTGTTTGCTCGCCTACGTTGCACCCTTTTTTGGCAACGGCCCCGACGGGGTTGAGGGGCAGGATGCGTTGAACCCCCCTCCCCCTCTAGAAAGCTAGCAAGATAGCCTTCTTGCGTGGTCTCGGCGGGATCCTTGGCGAGTAGTTCCCCCTTTACTAAGTATATAGTTTTAGTCCAGCAAACCATCCATCCCACCCGTAAAAAATAAGGTCCGGATAAATCCCGCGGTGGGACCCAATCCCGCCAATGTATGACGTGTTCGGGTCGGCTTGAGCTCATCCTGAAATCATCTCCAGGTCATCTTCGGATCATGGTTGTGCACTCTGGGAATGCTCTGGCCACCTTGGTCGCTCTGGGGCCACCGCGCCTGGTCTCCAGGGCATCGCTCACATCTTGGGCCATCTTGGATTCGCTCCCTGGCCGGGCCGACGCTGTGGTCATCTTCGTGCCCGTCTGAGGCCGTCGTGGAAGCATCTTGGGGCCATGGGGCCGCCCAGGCATCCTGTCTGGGTCGTCTGGAGGTCTTCCATGTTTCCAAGGAAACATGAGTTGCGCCTAAGTGATCTGAATCTGGGCCGTGCCTCACGCCGCTGGACCCCCGAGCAACCCTCGACAGTGGGGAGAGTTTCGCAGATCGCAGCCCCCAGGGGATGGCGAGGTCTAGTCTGAACATGGGTGGTGCCTCACTCCGCTGGACCCCCCAGCAGCCCTCGACAGTGGCGACAATTTCGCAGATCACAGACCCGCAGAGATGACCAGGTAGGAGGCAAGCTGGCACGCAGGAAAGAGCGAGGTAAGAGGCAACAGGGAAGAGAGAAGAGGGGGGGCGGGAATGAAGGTCGCGACCGCTGTGCTCTAACCCCGTACTCCTGATAGTAACCCCCTGGGGATACTAAAGTTCGGGTCCAGGGGAAAAGTTCGGGGCGGGAGGCGCAAGGAGGAGGAGGAACATGATGCTTATGGAATAATAGGGTTTTGGAACATCCATTGCATTTCAAAAGAAATGTACAAGATCCCGAAGGGATCCTAAGGAATCCATCGGAGACCCGAGCAAGAAAACCTTGCTGCTCAACATAAGAAGATAGCTACTTCGACTCGGCACTCTCCCCCGCGATAAGCAATGTCGGCCTTGCCGCCCCTCTTCCCCGACCAACTCTGCACTGGCCAGGGAGATTAAACTCTCAAGGGTTAGGAGGGCTATGATAAAAAAATCCCGGGCAGGCGGTAAGTCGAAGCAGATACCCAACGCAAAAGGGTTGGGAACTATCGGGACCGAAGCCGTTCGAGTCGGCCAACAGCGACATCGAATCGGCCCACTCGGAACGAAGTGGACCCTGGGAATGTGCTTCGTGCTTTCCTTCCCTCGATTTGGACGCCCGAAATGGGTACGGAAAGAATGGGTACAATGCCCAACAGCAAATGTTGTCCCGAACCAACAGCGGCCGCTGTTGGGCGGGCGGCCTCCTGTCTCGAATGGACACAGGCCGCGGCGGCGTGGACAGCGAGTCCTGTTCAAAATGAACAAGATCCGTTGTTGGGCATAGTACCCATTCTTTCAGTACCCATTTCGGGCGTCCAGATGGGAGTGTGCTTCGTGCTTTCCTTCCCTCGAGTCCTTGCCGCCCTTCCCGCCGAACCCCGGCGGGCCCGGCCCGCCGCCGGGGGCCGTCTGCCCCTTCGCGACGACGCCCGGCGGGGGTGCGACGGCGGCCTGCGCTAGAATACGCGGCGGGGAGGGGGGGGGCGGAGACGCCCCAAACTGACTGCCTACCAGACCACCCCAACCCAACCCGAAGACCCGAATTTGACCCGAATTTCGAGTTGGGGGGGTACGGATACCATGTGTTTTTTCAACGTTCCCCGACACCCCCCCACTGGAAATGGAAGGCAAATTGATGGCTTCGGGTTGGGTTGGGGTGCTTTGGTGGGCGGTGACAAACATGATCGCCTTCGAAAAACGTCAGGACGGGAGGCCTATTGCCGGTTTTCGGCCACTGGGGGGCCCTCTCGGGCCCCTGGGGCCCCGAAACAGTGGCTCGGGATGGAGAACGGGCCTCGGGGAAAAGATCGGGGCTCCCGGGGGACCCCGCAGTGGGCAACCCACACATGACAAACAGCCCCCCCATGACCATCAGAAGAACAGCCCCGCCGTGCAGGTAGTCCCGGCTTGCCTCGACGGGCCCCCAAGGAGTCCCAGCTGGCGTCAACAGGCCCCCGAAGTAGCGCGGGGCGATCTCAACAGCCTGGCGCCGCCTCTGGCGGGGCCCATGGCGCGCTCGGCGCTGCAGAGTGAAGGTGTTGAGACTGCCCCAGACTCCACGGGTGGCCTACTGATGCCAGCTGGGGCTACTCGGGGGGCCTGTTGAGGCCAGCTGGGACAACCTGGAGTGGTTGCCTGTGTCCGAGGGGTCCGAATAATTGGGGTCGGGGGATCTCGCCCCATCGGCAATGCATCGGCGATGCGTCGACGATACGTACGTCGGCGATGCGTCGGCGACACTGGCGTGGAGAAAGTCGGGCTCCGCATCGAATTGCATCGCCGATGCATCGGCGATGCGGCGCGATCTACCGACCCTATCTGAGAAGCCTGGGCTGTGCGCGACCCGAAGCACTACCACGCGGGAGCGGAGGGCATTCTCGATGATCCTCGGAGCGCGTTCTGGCATCAGGTATGGCATGTCCTCCTACACGCGGAGTCTGCAAGAAAAATAAAACAGGAGGCAAACAATGATCACAAGTATCAAGGGAGGCGAAACATCGTCACCATACAATGTGATGATGATATTGTGTTACTCCTCCTGTAGAGGGACATGCTCGACTTCATGCCAGCGCAGACCCCACACCCCCTCATGATGGCACGAAGTGTTTGGCAATGCTCGGCCATGGGGGACCATCGCTGGGGCCCGCGGCGGTACACACAAGCACGAATGGTCCTGGGGAGAGGGTCCAGGCCTCCGGGCGTCCACGTCGTGAGACATTCATGACGTCGGGGGTCCTGGGGGCGGGGGGGCCTTCTCGACGATCCTAAGAGCAGGTGCTACGGTAGGAGCTCGACCACAAGAAACCTTCCGCAAGAAACCCAACCCTGAGAGCCCAGGACTTCCGATCTTTGGCGTGGAACACGGCGCGCTCTCCATATCAAAACCATCGCAACCCAGGACACACCGGGCACCCTGGAGACAAGCAGGGTGCTTCTTGGCATGGATATCCACTCTGGCGCTGACGTGCGACTGCCAACCGACGCCGTCCAGGACGACGCAGGCGGTGCAGTGAGGGCAGAGCACTGAAGAAGAAACAGCGCCACAGACATAAACTGCTGGCGCTCCGCGCGGATTTCTTGGATCTGGCCTGGGCCCCCCTCTACCTGGCGCGCGGAGCGCGCCAGGGACGGCGCTGGAGGAGCTGCCGGGGGGTGGCCCAGCTCGAATCCAAGAGATCCACGAGGAGCGCCAAAAACTTATGTTTATGGCGTTTGTTCATCTTCGATGGTGACACATTTCCGCCGCAGGAGCGTGAATGGACCACGAAGCACAAAACGGGTCAATGAAACACAAGTGACACTGGGCTGACACACGTCCTGAGGACCATTGACCTTCTGAGAAGGAGGGGGCCTCTTGGCACTGGGGATGGCGAAGGGGGGTTCTGACTTCCTCGCATGGCGAAACAATCGCGACGGTGGGCTGCCAACACAATGAGAAAGCGACTCGCGAAACGGGGTCCGGGGAAAGGGGTACAGACCTCTGAGGACCAAATTGTGAAATGACCCCCCTTGTGACAGAAGACCCTCCGTGAACAGCTTTACACATCCACGATGGGGGGACACGATCGGCCACCGATTCCAGAGGTTCAGGTTCCCTCGCCGGGCGTCGCTCACAGGATACAGACAACCTACAAACAAGCTGTCTAGGAAAAGTGGCAACGCTGGAGTTCTGCCAGTAGTGTGGGGAGGGGGTGAGCGAATCAAGTCATGCAGCCCGTTTTCCTGGCGCCCCCCGGCATGGAAGGCGGCAGTGTCATTAGCGGCGCGGGGCCGAAGCCAGCTGCTTGCAGAAATTGTCGTACCACCCTTTCCCTAGCTCCCCTTTCATTCGCCCCGCCCCCGAAACCATCAAATCAGAACTCAAAACCCCAACGTCGGTCCCACTTCTCATCCTGAATCGTATTTTGACGGTCCCGGGGCCAGGCAAGGAGCTCCCAACGCAAATTGTCATAAACCTCTCGTCACGCTTTCTTCGCGGCTCGATGAGTTCTGCTTGGACCAGAGCTGGGGTTGCTGAGGGGAAAGGGTGTTTAAGCGGATGCCAAGGTGGGTTATATCTGGCCCAATTCCCCTAGCTTATAGGTGGGTCGCAAATGCACTACACGGCTTACGGTACGGAGGGCAAGGGTCTGGGCCAAGCGGACGGAGCCCACTCAGCTAGTTAATCGAACCCTTTTAAGCCACGCGGAAAGTCTGTGACCCGTGTATTAACTGGGTTCGGCCATCCACAACCCTCATCCACATCCATGTACAAACGCCCTTTCCCAAACCCCCGAGGTCGTGATTTGTGTCACACATTCGACCCCGAGAGGTCTCGAACCTTTCCCAAAGGCCAATTCGTCGTCCTGGATTATTTTTTGATGGTCCGAGGGGGGCCCGCAAGGGCCGCGCCGGAGGCCGAGCGGAGCGAAAAACCTCTGGTCGCGCTTTCCGTCACACCGCGAGGGGGTCTGCGTACAATTCCCCTGTCCCCTCAGCAGCCGTTGCGTTAAGTCGGGCCTGTCCTTCTATAGGAAGAATATTCAAACAGATGTTTTAATAGTCAGGGGGCGATTTCTGGATTATTCTAGAGCATGTTTGGATTTATTTGGGAGTATGTTTAATGTTTCACCCAACGCTCGCCTGCTGGGGGACATGCCCGACCTAACCTTAGCGGTGATCCGATTGACGAGACCTCTCCGATCCATCCTCGGCCGATTTCGGCGCCCCGCCGCGGCCTGGGCCTGGGCCTTCCCGAACGTGCCCGGCGGCGCGGCGCCGCCGCCGCCGGGCGGGGCCCCGGGCGGAGGGGCGCCTTGGCGTGAGGGGAATTTGAGCAGGGTCCGAAGGTCCCGGCGTTCCTTTAAGCCTCCCACGATGTGTTTTTATAACCTAAATATGTTCCAAGAACGACAACAATGTTCTTACAACGTAAACCTGATGTGTATCAAAGCAACCCCAGCCGTATACGATCTAAGAACATTTCGCTGAAACAGAACAGGTTCTTAGAACATTCTTTTGTAGGCGTATAGGCAAGCCAGGACGCTGCGCCACTGCTTGAAAGACGGGCTCGGAGGAAAACGTCAGGCTTCGAATTGCGCGCAGGCTCGTGCAGGAGACATCGACTACATAATGGTTTGGGCTCAAACTTTCGTTCTTCGTCGAATATACGAGAAGATGCGTAGAAACGTGTCCCTCGAACTGTGACGGTTCTCCGTCGTTTCCACCGATTCGACGGTAATTTCAACTTTGGGTTACATCGATTATGTAAATCCTTCGCCGCGCGAATGGGGACGTGACCAGCCACCTGTTCCTCCACACCTCCCCCACCCTGATAGCCATGGCTCACAAAAGACGGTCCCCTGAGATCCAGATTTGCGAACAAATGCGCAATCACAAAAAAAACAGACCAGAGCCCTAGACCGAGTTCTATTGCGCCAGTCCCCGGGCCAGATCGATCTGCGAGAGTCCCTGAGCCAGGAACGAAGCGACAAAGTCCGGCCCGAAGAAGTGAAACGCGACGATGACAGGGTACCCAAGGGATCAAGAAAATCTCTGAGATTGTCAGGGAGCCCTTCAGCGCTTGAGCAAGGACCACCCGCCCCGATATTCCTTAAGGTCTACGCGCCCCGAAATGTTCGTATAACCCCAGAAGAACAAATACAAGTATCGCATACGTAACGCCGATTCACTGAAACAAGACAGTCTCAACCACGCACGCCTTTAAAACATGTCGTGCAAACCGAAAACAATCGTTAAAACAAATGGCTGCGAGCCCGGGGGGTAAATGACATGGGGTGGGGCGTATCAAAAGGCTCGGATATATTTTCTGAACCTTCCCCGGAGACGCAAGAAACTTCTCAGGAGGCGCGGTTGCTTCCGAGAAGTCACGCCGCCTTCTGAGGAGGCCTTTTCACTCTCCCACCCTTGCTCGCCACCGATGAAAACATTCTTTGGCGGGCCCATAGGCAAGCCGACGCGCGCGCGGGGAGAGGAGCGGTCGGGAAAGGGGGGGAGGGGGGAGAGGATGAGGAGGGGGAGGATGAAAAGGAAGGAGGGGGAGGCGGAGGAGGGGTCCCGGCGCCTAAAGGAGAGGAAAGTGGACAAGACGCGAGCCAGGGACAAGAGGGCAGGCGGACAGGCAGCGAAGGGGAGAGGAAAGAAGTCCGCGTCCTGCCTCGGAGACTTAGGTGATGAGGAGCCGCCGAACACGCCTGGGCCGCCTGGCAACGGCGCGAGACCTGGCGCGGATGGCATCCTGAGCACACTCCAGGGATATGGCGCCACGGGTTCGGGCTGCAATGGAGGGGGGAAAAATGTGAACAAGGGCCACGCAGTGAGCAATAATAGAATCACTGCTATGAACTACCCACAAAAGGGGCATGATGACGCACAGCGAGCGGGTCGGAACCCCAGGAGGCAGGAAAAGACGAGAGGAGCGCGCGGGCGACGGGGACAAAAAAAGGGCGCGAGACAGTGCAAAATAGAAGCACCGCCATTGCAGCGTCCCCACACGCATCCGCCTGCGCCAAATCGTAAACGTTCCGAGGCCGGCCAGGCATTGAAAAGGGTCGTTACTGCAGCAGTCAGACACTGCGATCAAAATGCTGAGGTTCAATGGGATGAGTAGCCCAATGCACGGCTCTGGAACGTGCCGGCTCGCCTGCGAGAGAGTCGGGAAGATGGGCACGGAGACGATGATATATCTTACCCTACAACATTGGGGGTGGCATCGCAATGGCGGCGGGCTCGAAACACGTGGTAGACAACGGAATCAAGGTGGAAAGGACGGGCGAGAGCTGCGAGTGTGGCTTCATCTGATCGACTGGCAGCTGTGATCCAGTCTTCCATGCAGTCCAACAATTCTGATCTCATGGCGGCGCGGATCAGGGCCGACTGGCATGCCAATCTTCGCCTGTCTCGGATCAACTGGGAATTCAAGCTGTTTCATCAAGCGCATCGCGCTCGGAGGAAAGTCGCGGCGGGGTGCCAGCGGAAGCAGCTGAGGACATTCGCGCTCCATGTTGACGAGGCCCCGGGGATAATCAAAGCACTGGGCAACATGACAAATAACAGAAGTGGCATATTGATTATGAGCAAGGAAAGTTGCCGCGAGAGACAGCCTACGAACGCGAACTCGATTGGTGCTCTCGGTAAGTTTACCGAGATGCAGGGCCCAGGACCACTGGGGCTCACGAAGGCCGACATGATTCCAAATGCATTGCCCATTGGCGCCGTGCTGGAAATGCGATACATCAAGACCTCGAGCGGCAAAGCGGGATTTGATATGGCCCCGGTCGTGCTGGCGCGGGAGCACTGCGCGGCACTTGCGAAGATCGAGAATTAAACCAAAAAAGGCGACCAGCGTTGTGGAGCCCCGCGCGTAGCGCAGGCAGCACAAAGAAAATGCCAGCTGCAACGAAGGCGAGGTCGTCGGCGAAGCCAGGCGCGCACATAGGCGTAGAAAGCCTCCTTCCGAGGATATATTTGCGGATGGGCTTCAACGCGATGGCGAAAAGAACGCTCGAAAAAAGGTAGCCCTGTTTGATCCCGGGACGGGCCCAAACAACCAATGTCACTGCTCGAAAAGGAACCACGGCGAATATTAGTCGTAGTCCAGACCTGGGAGTATCATGCGGCGATTGCCGCGATAGAATTGTCGGGGGCCCGATGAGCTCGCAATGCTCGAGAAATCCACCCGCGGTGGGCGCCGGGAAACGCATTGCGAAGATTGAATGGGCATCCACCCGAGTTGGGGCAGGCGAGGGTGTGGGACCAACCGAAGAGGGAACCGTCGAACCCCGCGATGTTCTCAATCATCGAACTTCCCGCGGCAAAGCCTCGTTGCGACGGCTCCGCAGAATCGCCAGCAACAAAATTAGCGGCCCGGCAATCAGGGGGGATGCGAGCTTGTTGTCAGAGTTCGAGAGGGAGAGTAGGCGCGCATAATCAGCTTCACGCGCGTTTCAGCCCCGCCATCCTCAATGGCACCCTTGGGCGGGAACGCAGCGCGGCAGAAATCAATCGCGGGTGGGGTATGCGTCAGCCCGCTGCGCAGACAAGTCAGGGCCTCGCGCGCTGCGTCAAACCCAATATCTCCAGCTCGCCAGGCACTGCGTGAAACGCCATCGGGACCAGGGGCGGTCTCTTTCTTCTCCATGCGAAGATGGGCCACCGAGGCCCCATCAGCAACCCAATCAATATATTCATAAGTACACGATATATATTCATCACCCTGAGGACCCAGAGGAACAACTTCATCGAGGACAAGGCGATGCACATCAGGGCCTGGCGAGTCAGCAGCGGCAAACACCTCGCCCCAGTGCCGCGAGGGAAGGCTGGCCATCTGGTCAGGATCACCAGCGGCAAGCCCCGGGGGAAACGAAACCCAACAAGAAAAGACGAGACCGCTGGGCGGCCCAAGCAGAAGCGAGAGGACAGACGCGAGCCATCTGAGACTGCCGAGCAGCTTTATACATGTCGGGCCCCAGACGGATAGCGTTCTCTCGCCATGAGCACAGTGCGTTGCGAAAGAGGAATGTGTTGGTGGAACGCGGCCCAGTTCGTCCACCGCGCACGCCCTGCTTCGAAGGAAAAAAAAGCTGAAGCACTGGATAAGCACGCAAGAGCTGCGCGCAACACGGCCGTGGCTCCGCGCGGGCCGCACGCAGCAGGCGAAAGCAAAGTGCTATCTGAGCGTCGTCATAGCTCAAACGCCACTTGCTTGGCGGCTAATTTCCTGGACCTCAAACTCCACTTGCTTGGCTGCTAAACGGGGCGCATCCTTGATTTCCTGGCGCCGCAGAAACGGGCCGGGGTGGAAGTCGGAGGCCTCGCGCTAACGGTGGGCGCGAAGGTGGGGTGCTGGATAAACCACGAAGCACTCGGCGCGTTCCCGGGAAGGTCGGCTTTCGGAGAGGTCGAGAGGAAGGAAGACGGGGGCGTGATCGGAAGGCTTGCGAAAGCCGGTATTTCTCCAGGAGGCAATGCATCGATGCGCAGCAAAGGGGGCTGGCACATCGGCGATCCAGTCGGACATAACTGGGATCGTGGGGGTCATTGATACGATGGTAAAGCGGGGGTGGTGGATCTCAGCCTGACGATGAGAGACGCTGCCAAATAAATCAGCAAGACGACAAAGAAAAGGCTTCACGACCAGAGACAGCATTGCATCTCGCTCCCCCCTGGCAGTGGTAGTTGAAACCGCCGACGATGAATGCCGCGGAGAAGGCAGCAGAGGCGCGCGCAACTGGTAGAAGTGGATCCTGACATCGGCTTCTGCTGCATCAGGAACAATGCGAACGCAGGCAACTTGAATGCATTCCGTCCGAGATGCCAGAGTGCGCGCGCAGATTCTTCCAGGAAGGATTGCCTGGCAATACCTGCGCTGAAACCTTGCGCCGAAAGGGTCTTTGAAGAAATACGTGCGGAGCCAGAGTTGGGTCACGACGACCCGTGTCCTGAGGCAACTTTGACATCGCGCATGATCTCGTCAAAGTCGGCCTGGGCGCCGCGGGGCCCGCGGGGCCCCTGAGCGCAGGCGATGGCGCGCAAGGGGGGGGGGGCGAAAGAGCTGACTGCACTTATGCCGCGATGACCGGGCCAGGGAGGCATAGAGAGACCCCGCGAACTCCACGCGACAATGCTGAGGGCGGACGAGGACGGGAGAAACAAATGGCCGAGGACGGAGACGGGTCAGATGGATGGGGGCGGGGGGGGGCAACCTTGACCCCGATCGCAGGCTGCGCCCTGGCAATGCTCTCGGCTCACGGAAGGCTCGCGATGGAATTTTCTTG